GGAGCAGGACTGGACAGCCCTGCAGACACACTGACCGGCTCTCCAGGAGCAGGACTGGACAGCCCTGCGGACGCACTGACCGGCCCTGCACACGCACTGACTGGACAGCCCTGCGGACGCACTTGGACAGGCCCTGCGCTGTGTGGTTCTCTCGGGCGGCTCTACGATGGGGCGAGTAACCCCCTCTCCTGTGGTTCTCTCCCGGCAGGCTTCAGTCCGAGAGGCGGGAGGGGAGGATTCGGAGACCGAGGAGGAGGAGGAGGATTCGGAGACCGAGGAGGAGGAGGATTCGGAGGCCGCGGACGAGGCGGGTTCGGGGACCGAGGCGGTGGCAGGGGGCGTGGCGGCTTCAGAGGCGGCCGAGGTAAGTGTCTCTGACCCGGGGGGGGTGGGCACACCGCTCGAGTGTCCAGTTAGCGGGGGGCTCGTCCCCTCCAGGATCACAAGGACGGGGACCTCAGGGCGATGAAGAGGCCACTGGGGGGGTGAGATAGTTGGTGCTGCAGTAACATCCCTCCCTGACGCGCCCCAGCGGCTGCCCCGGGACGTTTTGAAAGAGCCCTGCTACACGGGCCTCTGACGGGAATAGTGTGGTTTAGGCAGGACGTTTCTCTGGGACCCCCAGAAAGGCCTTTCGGTTGGTTGTCAGTTTGTCGTTTCCGTGTCCCAGCATCCTCGGCAACAGTGGTTCTCGAACCGAGCGTCTCCTGGTCTGTTGTTCCCACCGAGCCCTTCGTTAAGCTGATTGATTCAGAGAGCGGCCCAGACCGAGCCGGAGGGCGGTCGAGCTCTGTCTGGTCAACCAGGGGCCGGCGTTGGTGAAGGACACACCGGGCAGGAAGGTCGTGGGGGGCAGGAGAAGAGGTTCGAGCAGGGAAGCGGGAAAGGAAAAAAATTCAAGGGGCTGTCGGGTGGGAGGAGGAGCCGGACGCCGGGCTCCGGGAATTGGGGCGTGCCGGGCTCCTCCGGGGCGGGTGCGGTGTTCTGGGGGTTCGGCCCCAGCGCCGCCGGAGGTCTCACTGGGTT